AAAACTGAGGTTGTGGTAGTGGGATTAATAGAAACACTGCTGCATAAACTACAAAAAACTTAGATGAACTCAAAATTCTGAAATATTATTATATCAAAGTCTTAGAATCCAATGAGAGTTATTTTTATAGTCACCTTACCGGGCTGTCAGATACCCCACAGCAGAAGCTGCATAAGAGGCCTATTGAAAATGAAACATTAATTAAAATCTGAATGGAAAGACGCAGTACACCAAAACAATAGCTTTATATGCTATTTTGTAAGGCTCGGCAAAGCATTTGAAAGCATTCTCCCTTCAAAAGATTTGATGCAACTGTTTCAAGGGTCTTTCCAAATTGTCTCTGTGTTGTATACAATTACTAACAATTCTCCAGTGTCCACTAGTAAAGTGAAGTGGTTATGTGTCAGAGACGACCTGATTTAATTCTAATACCCATACCAATCCTTTTAGAAGCTGCAGTTGACTCAAAACTTCAATCAAGGTGCATGATAATGTCCTTTACAAAGAAACCCTTCAGGTGTTTTGCATAATCTATAAACCAAAAGCTTGCCTATTGATGAGGCTGCTATTCTGTATACATAGAAGCTGTGCCTATTTGAGAATGGACATTAAAATCTGATTTCAGACCACAGTTGCCTCTTTCTCACCACTGTCATTTTCAATCATTAGTCCTCCCACTGCAGCTATTCATTTATTCCATTTTACGTAATTGAAAGATCTCCCTCTCTTCTCTGCAGGATTATTTGAGACTGGTATTTCTTTCTTTAAACTTTTTTTTATTCTATTCAATAGTGTCCTATTCCCTGCAGTTTTCTTGGCAAGATGTTTCAGAAGCGTTTTTGTCATTGCCTCTTTCTTTGGGCTGAGAGAAGGTGACTGGCCTAAAATCAACAAATTGGCTTCATGCCCAAGGCAAACTCATTCTCCTGATTTGTAGCCTAATATCTTAACTACTATGGGTTGCAAGTGTAGAAAAAGACAAACCTGTTTAAAGTCAGATCAGCTATTTTCTTGTGTAATGCAACAATTGGCAGATATTTTTCATGCTGACTTGTGATGTGCTCAGTAACACCAATGGAGAAAACCAATCTCCTTATTTATAATTAGTGGAACTTGCAAAAATCAGATCTTGCAAATCATTTTCTGGCAGTAACTTAGACAGAGACTGACCACAGGATTCAAAAATAATTATGTTGATATTACTTTGTGCCAATTCAAAGATTCTGACAGCTTTTTAATTTGGCAGTGAGAACAAAAAAAATTAACAAATGAACTCATCTTGAGGTTCATATTGATAACTTAAACTGAAAGTTTTTTAATGGGATATTTTCCACTCAAACAATATACAACTTAGATACAAAACCTGGTTCATAGGCTCAACACTGAAAATATTGTAATTATTACAATTATTTAATTGTAATTAAATAACTGTAATTATAATTACATATAGAAATTCATAAAAATATAGAAAACAGCTTCTTAAAAACGGATTTGACATCTTCCATCTGTCCAGATTAAAGCAGTCTTTTCTAATCTGGTGCTCTCAAACTGCAATAACTAAAGAAGTTGGAATTAAAATCTCATATAGCTGCATGGTACCAGGTTGGGGAAGCCAAGCCTACATTAATCTAACAGGAAAAAACCTGCTATTCTTCATGCTGAGAGTTGAGGATGGTTGGATTAAAATGTAATTTGCTTTTGGGTTTTGGCCTACCTTAATAAACTACAATTATTTTATTATAAATTTTAATTAACTTTGCCATTTTGGAGGCTTAGGGTTACTTAGATCAGGCTGGAAATTAATATAGCAAAATAATAGGACACATCTGAATATCTTTTACAGTATTTATGGTATCTTAATTTAAGCAAAAGGTATCTTTTAGGGAGAAGAAATTATTCCCTCCCACCCCGCCCTCAGGGAGGTCTAGCCATAATATACAAAAAGCTTGTGAAAAAAATTATACTTGAAAGGGCAAGAGACAGAATAGTAACATTCCTAGGACTGATGATTTCAGAAAGCGTCATGTAGAAGACAATATGGAACATAGTACAAGAGTTAAATTGTTAAAATTGCTAATCAGATTTAACACAATGGCTGTGAGTGGCATGATGGGTGCGGATACTTACTATTTTTTATATAACATTTTTGAAAAATCAAAACTTAAACACCAGAAGGTAATTTATGCATTTCCCTTCTATTTCTGAAAAAAAAACACATGCCAAGTAATGTAGAAACAGTTAAGATATCCAGAGTGGGTGTATTTTTGGCAAAACTGTTTGTACTTAACATGCCATGACAACACATTGTCAAACCAAGTGGCATTAAAATGCTACATAAAACTTTGCAAATACCTGGAATGATTATTCTTATAATTATAATTCTGCATATCAAAGTACTGTATAATTAAATATTTTTCCTATTTTTAAAATATTATTCAATTATATTTCATCAAGCAATTCAAAAGCTCTGATAGTTTGTAGGGCACTTCCTTTGCCATCACCTATATAAAGCATATTTTACACTTTTAATTGAACATGGAGTTTTTTCCTTCTTGCATCTTTATGTTTTGTTTCTTTCCTCAACAGCATGGATACTTTTAATCATTTAATCTCTACTTATTTTTTCACTGTCCTATCCAGATTTAACTGATTTTTATTCTACTTTATTTTTGTTTGAATCAAGGCGAATAAAGTACTTACATAATGCTTCTGTTTTCCTTATGACAACAACCCTGTGAGGTGCACTAGACTACCATTCCACTAATTCCAGAGAATACTTTGGGGAAAAACCACTTTTGTTATAGACAAAAAACGTGTAGAAATTACCATTTTTCTGTGGAAATTCAGCAATAAATAAATAAAAGTGTTTGCATCTGTGCTGTCAGTATGTGTCAGATTATGTAACACTAAAATGAGCTTTTAGCATTTAATAGTTATTGAGCAAACAGATATTAAATTAACCCAAGAAATACTTACAGCTTGTTCATTGCGCATTCCTATATATTTAATTCCACTTGCTTGTGCAGCAATTGCTACTTCTGTTATAGGAACACCAACAATGCCAAACATATATTCAATTTCCTGAAATAAATATTTTTTTTATTTTAATGCATCTATTTAATTTAACCAACTATCTTTAATGTCTCATCTCTATCCCCATTTGGAATTTTATATAATCTGACAATATCAAGGGCAAAGTGAGGTTGGCTTTATGCACAAGGCAAAATTAGAATTTGTAAAAGCTATTCCAAGTGAAACTGCTTTTTGTAACTGATTGTGATTTTGCCAACGTCCATGGTGTTCAAATGGTGCTCCAGTCATTTTGGTATTGCACTCAAGAAGCCTATTACTATTGGAACTACCTTGAATTGTTGTTGTTGTTTTGCCAGTCATTCTATTTTTGCAGGTCTCTGTATTTTGTTATCTTCCAGTTCTTTTTCTTCTATTCTACTGCCTCCATGTAATGTCATGTCCACTATCCAGACTTTTATTCTTATTGGCATATTAAAATTCTTGGCTTTTTATAAAGTTAATTACATTATGAGATATATCTTATTAATCACAAAATGAGTCTGTAATTCAAAAGAAACCATTTTCCCACAATGCTCTTTTCTTGAATCTATTTTTCTAAGTGCTATTTATTTTTGATTGACCATAAAATCTAAACTTATAGATTCTGTTCAGTGTTAGGCTCAAAATCCTAGACTCTAGGATCTAGAGTTAAGATAGAAATAAATAAATCAACGGTGGTTAGTTTATTTTAAAATAAGCCGAATTTTCTTTGTCTACAAATCACTTCACTTCTGCAGAATTAAGTAGGAAAAAATCCCACCAGCACTCAGACTGAAAATGTATGTAAGGCTTTGTTTTATCAGAATAGAATGTGCTTCTAAGCAAATTCATAGGTTCCCACTATGAGTAATTATTTATAAGTCACCGGGTGAGGATCCCATAAATTTTCACACTTAAAATAATAAACATTTTGAGCTTTCTAGAATAGGTGCAGGTGAATATCATATAATTTTCTTGCAATTTCTTATAATGACCAAATGTATGACTCCTGCCTTGGGAAATGTATCACAAAAGTTTACCTCAGGGGTCTCCAAACTTGGCAACTTTAAGACCTATGGACTTCAACTCCAGAATTGAGGAATTATAGGAGTTGAAGTCCACAAGGTCTTAAAGTTGCCAAGTTTGGAGACCCCTGCTTTACGTGGATGTTTTAAAGCGAATCTTCTATGACTTTTTCGTGCCATTTAATTAAGATTAATAGCACTATGTCCTGATTCGCACAAGAAACATAATATGCTTTCTTTGTATTGATCCTATACAGTGTGTGAGTATACTCCACTGAGGCTTATTCAATAACCCGTCGTTAAACAAAACGCGTCAGAGGCAATCTCTTTTTAAATTTCACGAGCCAGAAGTTTTGTCCGTGCAGGGAAGGAGTCTGGCAGCGGCCCAGCGATCTACTACTGATGGCTTTGCCCGCTTCTTGGAATTGATTCCACAACTCAGCACCCCCTCGGCACTTTGAAATGGTCTTTCCCATTCCCCTGTTCAGGGTGAAGCCATACTCGGGAATCACCCAGCGCTCTTACTTGTGTCTTTAGGGACTCCGCGATGAGCTGAGCCCCGCTGACAACTTCATCTTCCTCCACCAGTACCAGATTTTGCGAGGCCATCTTCCGGACAATGGAGACAAGGACGATAGCCCCGCCATTTATGCTGAGGTATGTTTCTCTCGACCAATGGGAAAAACCTAGTCTAGGACTTGGAAAAAAAGCCAGCCATTGAAGAACTTGTGGGCGTGGCTTTATACGGATTCTTGTGAAACGGCGCAGCCCAAGGAATGTCAAGCAGCTCCCTCTGAATTTGACGGCTGGTCACGTGACAAGAGGACGTGTCAGATACAACTTTCTGATTGGCCGGCTTGTGCCAACCCGCTTCCCTTCATTATTTGCCAATCTGTTGGGAAATCTGTTGGGAAAGAGAAGGAGGAGGAGGAGGTCCAAGGTTTTTTAGTTCAGGAATCTGTGGAAGAAGTCAAAAGCAATGATTGTGTAATGCAATGTGCTTGAAATATGTTGCACGAAAGAAGGCGCACAATGAAAATGTGTTTTCTGACTTTCTTAAGCACTACAGCACTGAACCAAATTTATTAATTTGACTTATTTTTCTGATTTTACACAATCCTAGACGATAAATTGATCCAACCCGTTGGCTGCTACAGCGTGGTGCCAATCAGTGTGGTGTATGAGAACAGCTTAAATCTATAAATTTTCCATCCTATCCGGATTTCTATTACCAAATCCATAAATAAACTATCCTGAAATGCTGAACTTGAAGAATAATTTAAGAAACAGGTGAATGTAAAATTAGGGGTTAAAATCTGGATAACAGCTATTGCACACTCTCTTTGTATCATATCTAAGAAATTCAGAATAACATATATTATCCCAACACACATATTTCTTTCAGAGGAACAGATACTTTATTTATTATTTCATTTTTAAGGACATCCATCTCCATAGCAACTTTGTACAGTTTACAGATTTTTTAAAAATACAAATATATCAAGAAAAAAAGAAATTTCCAAGGCCTGAAGAACAAGCAGGTTTTTAGCAGTTTGCAGAGTCAAAAGGGTGGGAGCAAATATGGATTGGGAGGTGGGGGTTGATCCATGTGGTGAGTTTGACAGTTTATTGGAAATTGGATCTCTCTCCCTTCTACTCCAGAGGTTTATAATTCCCAGTCAGAATGCTTGTGAGGTATTTAGTAAAGCCAACAAACAAATATAAAACAAATGGAAGGAAAATAATTACCACAGAGAAGTCCTGGGGGTTTAAGTTACCAATAATTAGTTAACTTGAACAGTAAATGTAGCTGATTTCTATAATATTTTATGTCTTATTAACCTGAAGATGAAATGGGTAGATTATCACTTGTCAATACATAGGAAGGTTTTTTATAAAACAAACCTGTTACCGATATAATGCCACAGATTTAAGTCAGATTTAAATCCATATAAAATTTTATTGAAGTTTTCTAAAATTCCCATTCTTCTTTGATTAGAAACAAACCTATCTGCATATATTGTAGTTGAGCATTTTTTAAAAAAAAAAATCCTGCAGGACAAAAATATGTTAAAAACAACTTGGTGACATACAATAATACATTTTCCACATTTCTCCTTAAACGTTTATTTCAGTTTTAGTTGTTTACATTGCAACTTTTGCTGATTGTTTGAAAGGCAAGCAACCATGTACTTTCTTGCACAGAGCATTCTAGACCTGCTAACTATATATGGTATGTATTACTTTTCAGTTAGGTTTGGCCCCTTGTTTTTTCTATAATTTTTATTTCACTTACAGGGAGCAAATACCATTTTACCTGCTGTTTAGCCTGTTTTTATCACTAGTTTATGTTTTAACTCCATCAACATGAAAGATTGGCACTCAGTTTGACAAATCATGGCAAGTGCATTCAGGTTGTTGTTGTTGTTTTGCCTCAATTGACTGGTAGTTTTTTGAGATAAGAACATCTGGTTTTCCACTTGTCATACAGAATATGAAAAACAATTTCACATTAGCTACTAATAACATTAACCAGTAATAAAACAGTTTCATACTGTTCTGTTACTTGTGATAGTTGTGATTTTTTTTTACTTATTACATTTCAAAAAGTATGCCAGGATACAAAATCTGTAATCCTGCAAATACTGTAGTTGCCCATGGGTTATGTTTGCTGGACTTGTTATGATATATCTGTTGCAATATTTTCAGGATCAGACTCAATAATATTAGTAAGAGTTAAAGGTTTAAATATATTTCCTTTTATTTACAATAGGCATTCTATATTCACTGAATATTCACAGATAGAAGCAAGGAAAAGGGTGTAGGTGGCTCCTTATATATACAATGGGTGGAGCTATAAGTGGGAGTGGTGAATTATGAATACATTAAGAAGTGAAGAATAAGTTAACCCCTGATACCCCGTTCATATATTATTTACACATTAGAGAATAAGGCATTTACATCTGACAAATCCCCCTCTAAATGCCGATTCGTTATACAACACCAATTACACTCAGATTCAGGACAATACAATACATACAACTTAGAAGTTAAATATTTGTGTTGCTTAGAAGGTAAAGGCTTTGTCAATATGTCAGCTAATTGTTCTGAGGTATCACAATGCACTGCTTTAATAAATCCATCCTGAGATAATTGTCTCACATGTTTAAATTTTATATCTATATGTCTGGACCTTTGTCCAATGGCATCAGATCTAGATATTTCAATAGCTGCTTTATTATCTTCATGCATAACAAAAGGCAAAACAGGTTTTTTCCAAACATCTGAAATTAAATCATTAAACCATACAAGGTTATTTGCAGCTTTGGATAAACAAACATATTCCGCTTCTGTCGTTGAAGTGGCCACTAGTTCTTGTTTACCAGTGTACCAGTAAACTGGACAGTCATTTAAGAGAAATATATAACCAGATGTACTTTTTCTACATGAGGTGTCTCCAGCCCAGTCTGCATCTGCATAACATGTAAGCTTTGGTTCTTTATTGTCTTTAGGTTCTAATATTAAGCAAAAGTCTAGTGTACTTTTCAGATATCTTAAAATTCTTTTAACAGCTTCCCAGTGATACATTGTTGGTTTGCTGACATGTCTGGATAATAGATTGAGTGGTAAGGCGATATCTGGTCTAGTCCAATTAGATATATAAAGAAGTGAACCTATGATTGATCTATAAAATGTGTTATCCTTGAATTCGGGGGAAGATTCATCAGTATTTCTTAGAAAATCAGTTTGCATAGGAGTATCACAAGGTTTGGCATTGTTTAAATTGCATTTATTTAAAAGTTCTACAATCTTATCTCTCTGAGTAAGTTTGAATCCCCTTCTAGTCTTATTAATTTGGACACCAAGATATTTGTTTACTTTACCTAGAGATTTTAACGAGAAATGTTCATTTAGTTTGGTTACAAAGGTTTCTCTTCTCTCTTTATGTTTTCCTATGTATAAAATGTCATCCACATAAATCAATACAAATTCAATGTAATCATCATCCTTTTTGACAAAAAAACAGTTATCAGCAGTTGTAGCGTTGAAGTCCATGGTTCTAAGTACTTTCACTAAACAATCATACCATCGTTTACCAGATTGTTTTAACCCGTATAAACTCTTGTTTAACAACCAAATTTCATTTTTGTTTGTGTATTGACTGTGAGGTGCTCTTACGTATATTTCTTTATCTAGTTTAGCGTGTAGATACGCAGTCTGTATGTCGTATTGAAATACATCAAGGTTGAGTGCTGATGCTACCACTAGAGCTGTTTTGACACTCTCTGTTCTTACTGTGGGGGAATACGTGTCAGTATAGTCCTCCGGATATTTCTGTGCATAACCTTGTGCAACAAGTCTAGCTTTGTATAGAGTATTGCCTCCCTCTAAGTTCTTAATTTTGTATATCCACCTGGTACCAATAATTGTTTTATCCTTAGGTGCAATTGCAGGTGTAAATACATTTAATCCTTGTAAACTTTCCATCTCTTTTTTCATCGCTAATTCCCATTTTTCCTTTTCTTCACGAGGGAGTTTTAACACTTCCTCATATGTATTGGGTGTTGTTGGCTCACCATCCATATGCATTATGTAATCCTTGTATTTATTTGGCATTTGATTTCTGGTGTTTCTAATGGTTTTTTCAGGTTTACTATCGTTATCATGCAAATATCTTGCTTCCTTTTTTGTTAATGTGTCTGTCTTAATTTTGTGTTGACTATTTGTCCAAATTTTGGTTTTGTTCTTATTTTTGTTGATATTTTGCTTTTCTATGATCCCTTCTTCATGAGATTTTGTACCTTTACATTTATTTGGAAATATTTCATTAAGATGTAATTTAGACCAGTTAGCCTGTTCATGGAACACAGCTGTTCTGGAGACTATAAATTTGTTATTGTTATCAATGAATCTGTACCCTTTAGTACCGGTTTCATATCCCATAAATCTGAGTCTTCTGGATACGTTTTCTCCCTTTCTTCTTAATTGTTTAGGTATGTGTACGTCTGCAGTGACTCCAAATATATGCATGTGTGCTAATTTTGGTTTTCTATTATACATCACTTCATATGGTGTCTTATTTACAATGCTGGACCATGTTCTATTTTGTGTGTAATTTGAATAATGTAAGGCTTCTGACCAGAATTGTTTGCTTAAGCCAGCATCTTCCAATGTGCATCTAATCATGGTTTGTAATGTGGAATTTTTCCTCTCTGCAATCCCGTTCTGGAACGCAGAAAATGGACTAGATGTGTAATGTAACATTCCTTTGTCTTTTAACCATTGGGAGAATTCTTTAGACATGAATTCGCATCCCCTATCTGTCATAATTTGTTTTATTTTGATGTTGTGTTGTGTTTCTATGCGTTTGTAAAATTCTTTAAATTTTTGAAATGTTTCATCTTTGTGTTTTAATGTATAAACAAACCCATAGCGGCTATAATCGTCCACTATTGTCAGGAAGTAACGTTTTCTATAAGTGATTGATGGAGTTAATGGACCAACTAAGTACTAAATCAAAAATTTCGTTAGTTGATCTAGTAGATTTTCTTGGCCTGGGGCTAGTTTTTAGTTTTGTAGATTTACATACTGAGCATTCCAAATAGTTTTCACAATTTTTTATTTTAACACCTTCTGCGTGTTCAGTCATTTTTTGTACTACAGGAAAACTAGCATGTCCTAACTTCCTATGTAAGATGTGAGCACACTCATCATGAATTGGCTTACCTATTTTTGGTTTTTTTTCATTGTGTGCATCTTTGTGATCATGAGATGTTTTACACTCATCATTGTCACTATTGCTAATATTTTCATCATCTACTTCAATACAATCTTCCATATTTGAGTCAATGTTATGCAACCATTTTTCCTTAGTTATCAGATAAGGTAGGCCTCCTTTAATCATCACTGTGCCTATATTTATTTTATTCTTCTCCAAAATCGCTTTTCCTTTTGAAAAAACAATGTTAATGTCAGAATCTCTACTTAGTTTTATAGCACTTAGTATGTTATGAGGTATCTCAGGTATTAGCAATACCCCCTCTATTTTTCCTAGACCAGGCAAGGTTACATTCCCTCTACCTAATACTTGCACCTTTTCTTGGTTAGCTACCTTTATTACAAATTTATCTTCTGCAAATGAAGACAATATATTTTTGTTATTAGTGGTGTGATTAGTTGCTCCAGAATCAATAAGCCAATTATTGTTCTCATTTTGCTGTATGTTAGTGTTGTCTTGTTTATTTAGCCCGTTCAGTGAGCCAGATTTTCTATCTTTTGAATTATCTCTG